CCATCTGATCTGCGGCAGCCACGAAGCCTCTTCATGTGATGCTCGAAACGAGCCGCTGTACAGAGACCCTGTCCAAGAGTGTCTTTGTCTTCATCGCGGAGTAAGACACAGTCAGACCCAACGAAGAATCCGACAGCGAGTTTCAAGGCCCCCCGTGACTTCTTCATGCCTCGGCATCGCTGCAGTGGGTACCACCTCGCCGGGAGCTGGACAAGCTGGGTGTGGGCCATGATGTTGCCCTGCGTGAGAACTGTTTCTAGGGGAACCTCAACTCGACCCAGGTCGATGTAGTGGAGGTCTCCGTCGGCATCATCATGATCGCGTACCAGTATGTTGATTCGTCCGCTTAGAACATCTTCCACAGATTGGACATCCAACGGAAACACAAACTCGGCGTCCCAGACTGGGTCGACGGTGTGCTTACGGACCTCTGTAGACTAGAAAACGCGGTCGGTGTGTTCAGTTGTTCGCAGCATTGCGTTCAACAGCAGGAAGGCGCGCATGGGAGGCGGGACGAATTTCACAATGGTAAGAGACGAGTGCAGGGCATTGCCTCGGTGGATTCTGCCCCAGGATATGCGGTACTTGATCCCGATCCTTCACAAACGGGCGCGATGTGTGGGTTCAGCACGTAGATGGTGGAAGCTTCCCCGACACCCCAGTGGCCCTACGTTACTGCATAGCAATTCCAGGAACATTTGCAATTTGTGTCGCTTCGTAGAGACAGCAGAGAACCACGTTTTTTCACAACAGCGTGATGGTATGTTGACAACTACACGTTTCGCGAGTCAAGCACCACGCCGCTTGGTTTCCCCATGCATTATTTAGTCCCCACAGAGTGTGGTACATGTGGTGCTGTGCAGGGAATGTACTGAAGGTCAATCTGACCACTACTATATGCCTCTGGTCGAGGTCGCGTTTCCTTCTTGTTCCGGCCTTCACCGACCCATGCTCACGGCAGGACACCTACACTAATTATTCCTTAAGCAAACAGCCTACTGTGTCTTATTTGTAACCGCAAAGATATTTTCCGTGTGACTTACGGGAGTGGTGTTAGACTATGTAAATATATGGCACGTTGGGTTTTGGCTAGCGTTCAGCGGGACCTTGTCTCGGTCGCTGACAGCGATGCCCCTTTTTCTCACTCTGGAGCACTGAGACCAGCATTCATTTTCTTGTTATCGTAACGTGCGGTGCATTTTCACGTGCTCAATTCTTTTGGAGGTCACGAGAAAATACTGGGTTTAACTTAAGCTGGTTGTCATTCCATTCATCCATTCCGCAAGCGGATGCCTTGGCTTTCTGAGATCCCCGCCGACGCCCGTTTAGGTCCTTTCCCTTCAAGAGACATCTCCTCGACGGCCACAGCTTTCCGGTCGTGAAAAAGACCCCTCTCTCCACGCACCAGCATGCACCAGCATGCATTGCATTTGCAATTCAGAGAAAACGAATGCTTTTTTGTCCCGTGTGTACGCCCACCCGCCGGTACAATCTATCCGCGTTGTGGCTACCGAGGTCCGTCTGTCGCGCGGACGAGCCACCCCGCCCAAAAGTATTGATATTGTGGAAAACATACCAGGGCAGACTAAACGTCGGGCTGCGGATTCAAACAGATGGAGGTAGAGATAAAAAAGCACTGCTTCACGTAACCATATCTTGAGGATGTTGTCTGCAAGTTGTAGCAGGCGACGAAAGACGCCCAGAAGGGCGGTTTTTTCATTTCATCAATGAATCTGAAACAACCCCAAAATGCCGGGAGTGCAACCTCGACTACCTGTATGCGTACGCATTCAGCCGTACCTGAACACGCCTGTCATGCTTCAAGTCGACATAGCCACTTTCGGTGGAGCTGACCCACAAGAACGTGACAGGGTCACTTGTCCCGGTCAGGAGGTCGGACACCAGCAGGTTTTTGCCTTCGAGCACCTTGACTGTGACCCTTGTGCGCTTTAATAGCGGGTCTGTGGGCGCCACATTAGAGCGTCCACGGGAAAGGCACGTCCGTAGCAGGTTTATGAACTACACATTAACATAGGCCAATACGCGGTGCGCTGCAATCACGAGACTACAGCAGTAGTCTGGGCTACAGTACACGAAATTCGACCTACAGTATAATTCCCACGCATATAATGCACGTACTTACCTATGTTCCTTCTTTTGGTGCATGTACAGCAGTACCCATCCAAGCGTCTCGGACACAAACGACCTACAGTATCGCGTCTTGTATGGGGTGACCCACTCGCTCACCGTCTGTTCCAGCTAGCGGCGAGCTGAAGTGATTGTGAGAAAAATAGCTCGGTGCGAGCGCGGACTTGTGATCACCTCGAACCAAGTCGATGCGAGAGGTAACACCGCCCGCCCGGAAGGTCGGCAGTTTTTGGCATGGCGCGGTTCGGGTTTCCGGTTGACGTTGCTGGGTAGCTGCCTGTGGCATCGGGATCCTATTATGCGAGAAGAACTCGCACGTTTTCTTCCCCGGTCACCCCTTGGCAGGTGCGCACCAAGACCACTATTACTGTAGACTACACTGTTCCACGATGCAACAGGTCTGAAAGCCCGTTGTGTGTATGTACTGTATGTAGCTAAATGTAGTTTGAAACGGCACAGGTTATGCCGCATTTCGCGTGTTGTGTGCTGTGTACGGTGTCACGGGCGCGGGCCGAACATAGAGGCGAAACATATTGGCACCAGTGCGAGTTTGGAGATTGAAACATTGTGGCTTGACAAATCTGTCATTGAGGATCTCCTGGCAGCAGCTGTGCACATATTCTTGTCTCGACAGATGCCTGTTCAGTAAAATCGGGTCGACCAACAACAAACGTAGTTACAACAAAAAAAAATTCAATTCGATTAGACTCTAACATCTAGTCTAATCCATGTACATCGTCAAGCACAATAATATGTCTAGTCTAGACTATTTGAACCCCTATCTTTACAAAAAAATCGTTCCGGTCTCCGCTCAGTACCTTCCCTGTTTATATCCGGACTGGCCCAACTGACCCGGACGCCTTCCGTAGTCACGAACTACCTACAGCACTGTGTAACTGCCTCGAGGGTGCTTGACCATTTTAACACAACGTGGTGCGATCATCCCCCTTGCGCGGAGTGAGGGTTCTCCACCCCGCACAACATGATCTACTCGACCACCATTATGGTTACCGCCAAAAAAAAAACGGAGGTAAAAAAAAAAAACGGTAACCTGGTTGCCGAGTTCACGAAGTGAATTGGCTTGTTTTACAACGTCGTTGCCAAGCGACGAAAACACAACCCCGATGCCAAACACCGAGGGGGCGGCTTGTTTTACAACGTCGTTGCCAAGCGACGAAAACCCAACCCCGATGGCAAACACCGGGAGGGCGGGTTGTTTTACAACATCGTTGCCAACCGACGAAAACCCAACCCCGATGGAAACACCCCGGGGGGGGGGGGGGGGGGGGGGGGGGGGGGGGGGGGGGGGGGCAGCGGCTTTTTCGAGTTTGCAGTGTGACGCCTTCGGGAGGGCGGCGGTAACATTTGTATTCTTGTCAATATTTGGGTACTTTCTCTTTGGCGTCATCATCAGCTACAGGTGGAAGACGTATTGTTCAAAGAGTCGCTTTCCACATGACACACTGACTGTTGTTTCGTCCCTTTTGGTGGGCACTGTTTGCTTTTGTCTCTGCTGACTTTTGGCTAAAACACGAACGATAGTATCCCCACTGCCCACCGAATATGCACCAGCACACAAGCACGCGTGGTGGAGACAGACTTACAAAGGTAGCACTACAAGGGAAAAGTCAGAAAAAGAGCGTTGCCCCGTTTCGAGGAATCCAAAGGGGTTACTATCGTGGCTGACAACGCAAGGGCTTTCAGCGGATGAAGGAATACCGCCTGAGTAGTGTCGGGAGTCAATCGGTTGTACTGGTGTTAAGGAGTGTGGCTGCTAGCATGAATAGGGTACATCATATTCTTGATAGGATGCGGGTCGGTCAGGAGGTATACCCTTCTGACCCCTACCCCCTTAGAATTGTCTACTCTGTGTACCCCCCTGAGATGAAGTTGGATCCCCACTTCATCCCAGACCTTTNNNCTGCATCGGCGGCCCATGAAGTGATTTCTGTGGCGGATACCCTCTGCATGGAGCGTCCTGAGTTGCCGGCCTTGTGTAGTGGGGCCCGAGATGACAGCATGCTTCCCACGTCTGCTACCACCTCTACTGCATTNCAAAAGCTATTTTGCCTGCATCGGCGGCCCATGAAGTGATTTCTGTGGCGGATACCCTCTGCATGGAGCGTCCTGAGATGCTGGCCTTGTGTAGTGGGACCCGAGATGACAGCATGCTTCCCACGTCTGCTACCACCTCTACTGCATTCATGCCGGCGTACCGGCCGATGTCCGCGGATTTTCCTGTTGTGCTGTCCGATTTGACTCCGCTTGCATCGACTTGGAACGCGATGTGTGCACACAAATTGGGTGTCAGCCGCCCCACCAGCCTTCCCTCCATTTTTCGAAATCACATGGCACTTTTTTTCCGGGAATCGTTCACCCTCAAAGCATTTGAATTGGAAACCTTTCAACAGCGCAAACCCACAGCGGTCTTTGCTCGCACTTCGGCACCAGTTGCGGAGGAACGCCGTGCTGCTCTGCGTGTCTTTTGGTCGGAAAACCTCGTGTCTCCATGCAACACGGGCCCTTTTGTGCTAGCTTCTACTGCTGTTTGTGCGTGGCATGGTGTGCTTTTGGACGCTTTTTCTGCTTCGTTGGATCCGCTTTAACCTCGTGTGCACCAAGCTTTTATCACTGGGCGTATGCTATCTTGTGAATATCTCCGCCTTTCGCATGGACCTTGGCTTGCTCTTTCCGAAGTTGCACCCGGCTTTACTGCTTCTGCTGCTCTTGGTGCTGCTGCCTCAACTGCGGTTGGTTATCCTACATCTACTGTTTCTGGCCCTGCTGCCCTTTCCAAAATCGATCGTAGCTACCCTCTCTCTGGCCCTGTTCTTGTTAACAAAGAGGACACCATGTCAAGCAGCAACGTGGAACTCCTGGGCGACAATGTGGACTTCCTGGACTACGAACCCGAGGGCAAGGCTCCCACCGCAGAGCAGTTTCCAGCGGCGAGTGCAGAAGACGAGAGCCCCCCCATGTCCATGGTGTTCACCGTCGATGATTTGCTGGACAACATCGCCACAGCAGATCCGGCGGAATTGGAGCGGGCCTACAACACCGGACGTGTCTCTCTGGAGGATATCGTAGAAGCGGCCCATCTGTCGTCCGATTCCCCCCTTTTCGTTCCTCCTTTCTCGCTCCCGCCGGAAGACAGATTAATCCTCTTGCCCCACGACGAGTTTAAGGCGTACCAACGCTTGAACGAGATGTGGTGCGATGGTCTTGCCGGGAAGATAGCAGAGGCGGAGGCGCGAGAGCAGGCGAAGCGCGAGGACGCGGAGCGCTTGGCGGAACGGGAGGCTGCTCTGGCCGCTGCGGCGAGGAAGCAGGAGGAGGAGCGTGAGGCTGTTCGGGCTGCTGCGGCGAGGAAGCAGGAGGAGGAACGTGAGGCTGCTCTGGCTGCTGCGGCGAGGAAGCAGGAGGAGGAGCGTGCGGCTGTTCTGGCGGAGCGTGAGGCGTATCTCCAAGCGGCTAGGGCGAAGCAGGGGGCGCTCCGATCGCGGCTGAAGGAGCTGGAGCCCCGCCACCAGGACCCGTGAGCAGCCCCCCACCCCCGTCGCCGTGTTATCGTCCCCCCCCCCACGCAATCCCAGGTGCACCTTGGTTCCCATCGTACCGCCTCGCCGCACGAGAAGGAGCGCGAGGTGGCGGCGTCTCCGACGAACGAGCAGGAGCGGAAGAGGACAGCGACTCCGGAGTTTTCGGTGACTTTGGGTCTTCCGGCTGGTGCTGAAGACGGGGCATCGTTTGCGGCGGCAACCACGGTGTACGAGTTCCACGTGGGAGATACAGCGTTCCTGTCCCGCCCGCTGGAGATGCCTGCAGAAGGTGTCACCTTCCACGACGAAGATAAATTGGCAGCTCTTTTTGCATGGGCTGGCATCAAACAACTTGTCCGTGCACAATTCCCCCCACCGCACACCGTTGCTTTCGGGCACATCTACCACACACCGTACCTCGCGAAACTTCCGCCTTCTTCGCGGCAGTCCGTGTTCCAGCTGTTGTTCGCTCTCCGTCGTGCCACCTTTCATGAAGGTCCTCAAGGAACGTCGGTGGTGACCCAGGAGGGAGGACTCCAGCTGCCTCTTGCTCGGGCTGCTTCGACCAACGACTTCAAGCACGATCTACAAGCCCCCCGGCAGGCCTCTTCACGCCCTGCACATGGTTCTGGAGAGGACAAGGACTTCAGTAGGTCGGCGGCTCCGGTGTCCAAGAGCTGGAAGAACCGTTGGGGCGACCGGGATTCGACGGCCAAGAGCGGGACGGACGACCACCACCGCTTCACCCAGTCTTCGCGAAGGCGCGGCGTCGGAGATAACAGGCGAGGGCGAACCGTGGGGAACCAGCCTACGAGGTCTTCGCCGGCGAGTCGCCATCGCCGGAGCAGGAGTCGGAGCGCAGAGCGTCAACAGCGCACCAGTCCTTCGTCTAGGCGTGGGCGCAGCCGGAGCGGAGACCGTCGTGGGAGAAACACGCCTCCGTCTAGGCGTAGCCGTAGCCGGAGCCAGAACCAGAGCGGGGACAATAGCAGGGCGACCAGCACTGACAGCAGTCGCGGTGGGAAAGGGCGACGGAGGTCAGGCCACGGTAACAGGCAAGTGATGTATGATCGAGGTGATTTTCGTAGCTCTGGGTTGTTGGGGGAAAACAAGGATGCTTCAGAAGACGGTTCTCTCTGTTCTTCACCGCTTGCTCTACGCCCTCCCGCTGATGTAGGCCAACCGACCAGGTCTTCTTTGGCTTTCAAACTTGCCAACATGCAACTTCGTGAACGTTCAGCCGCTGTGAAAAGCCATGCCCCTGCCCATGCCGTTATGGATCATCCCACATCTTCCTTGCCTTTGGACGAACCTGTTGAGTCACCACGCCATGCTGCATCACACGCCTCGACTTCGGCCTCCCGTACTGAAATGCTGTTGGAACAAGTACTCACTCTCCTGCGAGCAAATCAAGTAGTGGATGCTGCTGCCGACGCGAATGTACAACCTCCTGTGCCCCCCCACGCTCCTAGCGTGCCACCACCTGCCCCATCTTCTTCCCCACCAACGCGTCCGACACCGATGCAAGACCACGCTTCGAGCTTTTCGGGAGCTCCTGTGGGACGCGATGTTCGTGCCGAAACCGCTGCCAGGACCACGCCAGCATCATCGTCATCAGCCACGAGGTCGGCGACAGTACCGGTCGAGCCTGCGGTGGCACAGTCAGCGTCGACAGCCCCAGCCCTGTTGCAACAGCCTTTGGTGGTATCGCCCCCCCCCCTCCAGCGTGCGTCTGTTCTGATTGATCCTGACTCTGCAACCGGCCACATCGTCGAGCCACCGAGTCAAGCGGCATCACCGGTGCCACAGGACGATGCTGGGTTGCCTTTGTCTTCCACGGGAGCGAGAGCGAGACAGGAGGCTCTGCACGCTGCGGACGCCGCTGCAGCGGAGGCCGACACCATCCGCATTCAAGACAAGATGGACAAGCTGAAGCCGGAACAACTTGATAGTGTCACACGCTTGCCCCTCGGTCCTGATCCTGATGAATTTGCTCGCTTCGCGTCTAGCTGCAAGGGTGTGGTCACAGAGATCCTCAACAAAAGCGACGTCAAGCGCAAGCAGACTTTCAATTCCTCCACCTGGGTCACCGGATGGCTTCCGTTGTTGCGCAAACGTGTCCGTGCTGCTGTCGTTGAAGGCCAAACCACCAACCGTGCCACTCTGGAATTTCTTGATGCCACCTTCCTACAGGTAGAAAACCATCTGCGCAAGGAACCGGCAGGGCCCTCGACGTACGCCTTCTTCATCCAGAAATTGGCGGCCGCCTGGGACACTCAAGACAAGAGCTCGGGGATTGATCGTCTTCGCAGTTTTGGCGTATCCAACGGCGAGACTTACGGAGAATACATCCGTCGCTATAAGGCTCTGGCCATGACCGTCATGGTTTCCCACCACGCGTTCAAGCCTTCGGATGCGCAAGTGCAGATAGCTGTTCGAGACTCCATGTTGAAGCAGTTTCCGGTAGTGTCTGGGCAGGTGTACAAGGATGAGCAGCTCTCCATGGAAGCCCCTTTTGGGCGACATGCTTCGTGTCTGGATGATATGTGGGATGTGTTGGACAAGCGTGCGTTCGCGCACACGCCGGCGGTACATGGAGATGATTTCTTTTCGGTATCTTCCACGAATGCTAGGAGTTCGTCTGCTGTTTCGCGTGCTGTAGCTTCTTCGGCGTTGCGTTCGACGGTGACCCCTTCGTGGAGCCAAGGTTCTTCGGCCGCCGTGATGAGTGTTGACCCTCTACCTAATGATGATCGGGACCCTTTTCTGTTGCACTACAGCGACTGGCCGTTGCAAGGACACTTCCAAGAGGTGTACAACGTCGCTAGTGAGATGGCTCTAACCAAGAATGATCCGCCATTGTTCACCCCCTTGGTCTCGGCTGAAGAGCGCCGCAACGCGCTTCGACTGTACAAGGGCAAGTGCCTCAACTGCTTGGGAGAAGACCACTCCTTCAAATCCTGTAATCGTGGTTTCGTGAACGCCACCGGCCTGCTTAACAATGACATCAAGTTCTGTATGGAAAAAGATCCCACCCTTTGGGGTCGGTGGAAAAAGCGCATGACCTCGTATAGACGCCCTACAGGACGCAACCCACATCGAAATCACCCCTTAGGACGCGCCCGCCGCTCATCTGACACATCGGACACGAAACAGTCCTCACACACAGAGCACTCGTCGGACGCTTCCACTTCGACAAAAAGGGGCTGGAGGGGTAAGAAATGACAAGCCGATGGCGGAGTTCAGCCGGTACTACCGTCAACAGCAACCACCGTGCACCCTTTTGGAGTCTCCCAAGATGTTCGTGTACAGCCTATTTCTTTGGATACTCCCCACGCTCCTAAATCACATCTAGTTTTTCGGCCCGCCTCCTCGTCGTCCGCCTCATCGCCTGCTGGTAATGGACATGACAGACCCATTTCGGCAGTACCTTTGTGGTGTGGGCGACAGGGAGGTAAGACGTCGAGCGGTCCATCCCTGCTCACCTCGTCGTCTCGGGTTACAGAAGGAACAAGAACCTCGTCTTCTACTATTCGTCAAGACTCTCCTGGTGTTGTCAGCCGGGCCTCTTCTCGGATCGCACACGAGCCTTCTTCTACACTCGTCGGGAACCCCGTCGATCCTCCTTCTCTTTCGCAGCTTTCGTTGTCTTCGACCGTCCGCTGCCCCCGTGTGACAGCACCTGATACGAATGCGTCTTCCTCTGCTGCCCACCACGTGCTGACTGCACCACTGCCATCGGGATCGGATGGTAGTGCCCACCATTCTGTGGAAGGTTCGGCTCCTTTGTCAAGGGGGAGTAGTCAAGAGCGCCCTGCGTCAATGATCAAACATCCGTCTGTTGCAGGAATGACTTCTCCTAACGAACGGGTCTCTAATAGCCGAATGGCCTCTGCTAACATTGACCCCGCCGGAGCCGCCGCCCTAAGGCCGCCCTCCGGATCACGGCGCGTTGCGACTTCGCCCGCTCCTGCCTCGCTTTCTGGGTCCTCCCCGTCGGAGAAGAGGACCCGTCCGCCTGGTCCACCCCCGCCTGTGCCTGGTGCCCGCCTTTTGCCCCTTCGCCCTGCACCGGCTCCGCCGTTTGATGACAAGTGCGAGTACGCTTCGGATGACGTCCTTCTTTTCTGGAAACCTCCGTCTGTGTTCTCGCAATGGACTCCTTCGGCTTTTGACGTACTGGGGGTACGTTATTCATGTGGTGAGCAATTTATGATGTCTGAAAAAGCGAAGTTGTTTGGAGATATGACGTCGTATGACAAAATTATGGCTGCAACAGATCCTAAGACACACAAGTTTTTGGGTCGAAATGTGCGTCCTTTCGACTATGCTGAATGGGAGCGTCGTCGTGAAGAGATCGTGCTTACGGGGTCGTACGCCAAATTTGCTCAAAACCATGACATGAAACATCATCTACTGGAGACGGGTACCCGCCTCCTTGCAGAAGCCAGCCCCTTCGATCGTGTTTGGGGTATCGGCATGTCTGCATGCTTTCCAGATGCTAGCGATTCATCCAAGTGGGCGGCTAGCGGTAAAAACTTGTTGGGAAAAGCTTTGATGGAAGTTCGACGCCTTTTGCGTGATCATCCCCTCTCTGGCGAAGATTTCCCCGCTTCCAATTCTCCCACGCCCCCCATTTCGCAGCCTCCTCTCCATGGACATCGACGCATTCATGAGGTTGCTACTGCTACAGGTTCTTCGCTACGGAAGGACCCGGGCGAAGACCCAGCTTGTCTACGTTTGGACGCTCCGGGGGACCATGCTCCTGGCGTTCATCTGGTGGCATCGACCTCCGCTTGTGCAGACCAGCCTCCTCTTCTCGAACATGGACCCGATCTGGTCGGCGGCACGCTCCTGTTGGACTCGGACTCATACACCACCCGGGTCCTGCTGCATGGAGGACCTACAGCCACTTCTCAACTCGCGCGAGTGGCGCTTCTGGACTCTGGGTCTCCTGCATCCTTCGTTTCCGACTCCGTGGTCACCGCCATGATAGCTGCCGGAGCCCTGACAGCTGGCAGCGTTCGTGTTTCGCCCTCTCGTCGTTGGGGTGGGTTTGGTGATGGACCCGCCCTTGTGACCACCCGGTCGATTCGTCTCACCGTTAATTTTCTCCATGGAGATAGAGCTACCGCTTCCTTGGCGGTCTGGGCCTGTGTTGTTCCAGACGCCGCCATGGGGCACGCCGTGCTTCTGGGTCCGTGATAGCTGGATCCGCTTCAACTCTCGCGTGTTCACCACCTTCCCCCAACCTGGACAGGACGGCCGGGATATGGGCGAGCTCACGCTCTCTCCGCGTTTTACAGCTGGCGCTTGCGTTTACGCTACACACGACGACGCTCCTCCCTCCTCGTTTCACCTTAAATATGCAGGGAGCTCGGGAATTTCTTTGGGGCCGGAGCCTGCACTCGTTGAGGTGAACCTCGTTCGTTCTTCTGGCATGCCTGCGCTGATTGGAGAGTATCTGGTATCGTTCAAACCCGAAGTGGGTGCGCTTCCTTCCCCAGATGCCTTCGTTTCAAATGGTCTCCAGCGTATTCCCCTTGCAGGTTGTGCCGAGCTCGAGCCGGGAGACGTAATTGGAGTGTCTG